TATTGGTCGCATATTATCAGCGGCGGATTAAGACCAATGGGGGCCCCAAGCGGTAAAAATTTCGGGGGCCACAAGAAAAAAATTTGTAGGAAACTCTTATTATGTTATGAAGAAAAAGGAAAAACAATTAACAAATTTTTGAGAGGTCCATTTTTTAATTTGCTCCATTAATAATCAAATTACTCACTTGTGAGGCGTGAGCCCCACAGGGGAGCAATTTGTGGGGCCACATATTGGGAAACACTGTCTTAAAGTATACATACGCAAAATCTGGCGCAGATCGATGAAAAGTCTTAGGNAATGCTTGTTAGAGTAACTATCTAAGCTCTATTAGAACCATTGTATACAACTGATGGACGTTAAGATTTACACTTCTCGGCTTACTGTGTTCAACTTTACATTGTGAATTGACAAAAGTTCATACATTTATTTTCTTTTCTTTAAATCATTTGAATAGTACAAATTTTAGGTTCTAAAACTAATATAAGTGACGTGATGGAAGAATTTCTAAGGCAGAAGCAAAAGAAATATGTGGAAGCAAAAATAAAAGAGGCACGACGCCTAAAGTAAATCTTTCATTTTATACGTCTTGAACGTTTCTAGTGCGATATAAAAAAAACGAACGTACTATATTTAAAAAAATAATGTGTCTCTCTTCTTTTACGCACAGTGAGGTCCATAAATATTCGTAGACATCTTACAGTTGAATAACTTTTTTAACATTTAACGAATTAATTTTTTTAGATAAAGAGAGATTAGTTGACTATATGATGTATATCAAACTATTAAAGAAAATTGCTGTAGATCAGATTTACGAAGAAAAACACAAAGGGCACAATTTTTAAATCTTCTTATTCGAATCTCTAATAAAAATTTGAAACCTGCCTTCTGCAGATGTTGTATGCACGTAGAAAGTTTCGTTAAAATCTGTCAAGATATAAAAAAGTTGGATGCATTGGAAAATGTTGAATTTTCTCAGGTTATTTAAATTTTAGGCCGAAAATCGAAAAAATCTGAATTTTGTTGTTTATGGATCTTAGCAGCGCCACTCGATTTTAATGAACCTTTGCTTAAGTAGATAATATTTTATTATGAGTAAGATTGTTATTTATATGTATTTATTTTTATAGAGCAACGATAATGCAGCACGAGACCAGCAACATTGGCAAAGGAAACGTAGAAGCTGTTTCTGTTGCCATACCTGCTGTTATAAGAGCCGGTGGAGATGGTAAGTTCTTCTAAAATAGTAAACTTTCATACTTTCCATCATAGAGTACATTCTAAAATTCAGTGTCTTTTTTTTATATAAATTATTCTATCTAGTTTGTAGAAAGAGAAATGATACCCACTCTTGATTCTTCATTTAAAAATATTTATTTTCGTCAAAAAGTTATGTAACATATTTTGAATTTCTATTCAGAATTACATGATCAAGCGAACATTATGCAATTATCTTAACGGCTATTTCACAGCAAATCGATATCGAGGATCTTGTTTAAAATCAGATAGTTCATATGAAATTGGGATTAAGTCATAATTTTCGAAATTGTCAAGAATTATCACAGAAATGTCAATTAGTGCTACTGGTAAAAAAATTAGAAAATGGAAAGACAGAGAACAGAAGTAGAATAGACCTTAAAATCACATGTTGTCTCTGAAATTATTTGGAAACATTCTTGTTTTGAGAATTAAAGCAGACGGTTCGATTAGTTTGAATTTTTTTAAATTGCAATATTAATCTTTCCGTAATGTGTGAGAATTGTAATCTTTATCTTGAAAATAACTAAAAATCAATTTTTATCTCTAAAATTATTTGGAACCATATCGAGACGAAGCAGAAAATTCGCTTTACTCGAATACAATTTTTAATGGGGTGTGAAAAGTATGACAAAACAATTATCATGAACATTTTTCCTTGGACGAAACTTCGCATGGAAAAAACTTATTTTACATCTGTCATACTTCTTTTTGTACGAGGGATCATCTTCCTTGACTTGTGCTATAATTTTTGCCTCTACATAAATTATCTTGGATGATTTTTAGTTGTTCTTTGGAATAAAACAGTTTTATTTTGTTCTATATTTTTAAGAGAACCATATAATATGTTAATAATTACTAGTTTCTCAAAAATATGAAGGATTAAAAAAAATGAGACACTGAATTTTGATATCTGTGTTGTAATTAGTACGATAATAATCAAAGTACATGCTTTTGCGCGTTGGCTCAAAAGTGTTTGCATTTCTCTGCAACTTTTTGTTGTTAACGTTTTTTTCCATTAAGAATTAATTTCTTATCCAAGTGACGAATGAATTTCACTAACATTGTATAAATATTTTTTAATTTAGTTTATTAAATTATGTATAAATTTAGTTTATTACATTGAAAAATATGTGTACAACTTAATTTACGAATTTTCAACTTATGTTCACTTGTTTCTCTTTTTATATAACATATACAGTGTTTTTCAATTGATTCTACATTTAACGTATATTTATTCCAGTTTTTAATTGTATTCTATTTTCATATTGTCTGTGCAAATTTAATTTCATTAAGGGGAAACAAAAAGTACTACACGTGTATACGTACTATGTGTATACCTCTATTTGTGTTAGTGTTAATGAATCATTAACTATTGTTTGTACATACTGTATGTAGCTTTTGTTGATTCCAAAAATCGGTTTATATCATCCCTATTTATCAGCGATGGGCGGAAAATAGTTTATATCAATTTCCAATACATTTTGCATACATGTATGTATGTAATTACACAGCTTAGCATAGTTTTACTAAATGTCGATATTTATTAACGTAAAAGATAGATTGAAACTTAATCAACAAAATCAGAGTATTCGTCTCTCATTTAGAGACTTAAGGAAGTTCTTTCAGATTTTCATAAAATTTGGTATGCTAAACAGAATTTAAAAAAAATGTTAAAGTGTTAAAGACTGAGGGTATTTAAGACAAAATTTATTGAACTTTTTACTTATTATGAGATATAGTAGTTTCATTGTTGTGTATTCTTGTAATTTATTTATTTTTTATTCTCATAGCTATTAACAAATTATTTTCGAGTAAGCTATTCTCAGTAGATATTTAGCTTTTATTAAAAGAATCTATGTCCATAGTCCATCACAATGACTGGATCAAATGAGATACTTGGATTGATGTTTCCCATGTATTTAGTATTTATTTGATACTATTTGATACCTAGTATAAATCTTTTAGTATCTCTCCATGAAAAAAGCTGTAATTACAGTCCACGATTCTGACGTCAAGATATCTGGACCGTTTCAATTTTTCTTGGTTTTGAGCCATATATTTCGTTTTTCATTCATCAGGATTTAATACCGATTTGGTACTATTTGAGACCTATTATTAATTATTTAGTATCGCTACATGAAAAGACAAATGTAATTGTGAAAGTGATCAGCGATTCTGACGTCACGATGTCTGAACTATCTCAATTTTTCATGACTCTGAGCCATATATTTCGATTTTTCATTCATGAGGATTTAGTGCACATATATGTATGCATTCTCAGATTCTTTCTAACATCTGTGAAAAGTTATACATAATCGAAGTTTTTAGAAATGAAATTTATATAAAAAAGAAAGGTCATTTCGTAAGGATAATCTTTTCTTCACGGAATCAACATTCATAATTCACAAGAAACAACACCTACTTTTATTAACAATACTTCTGTTTTTTTTGCATGTAATAAGAATCTTATATTTCTATTTGAAATATCACCATAGCACTGTCAGATAAGGGCTCCGCATTAATGCAATTTATAATACTGTACACTCTTTGGAGTAAAAAAGTACTTAAGTTTATTGGACAAACTACATTTGTACAAGATTCTTCTATATCAGCACTCTATATTTTATCTAGCAATATTTTCGATGTATATACAACAATTCATTCACAATTAACATGAACTTTATTACCATCAATTTTGAAGAATTTTTTCTGAATCTTTAGGGTATTAAATAATTCATAGTACGTATCATATAGTATCAAATAGGTATTAAACCACCGGAATGAAATACCAAAGTAGACTGTCCAGAACCATGAAAAATTAATATAGGTCAGACATTCTGACCTATTTAAAATAATTGATCACTTTTATAATTACATTTCTCTGTTCATGGAGAGATACTAAAAATCTGGGAACTATCAACCCAAATATCCCATTTGATCCAGTCATTCCAGTCAACTTGTTAAAATTAAAAAAATTAGACTTTGGGATTCATACTCCAGATAATTATTATCTATGACAGATAATGAAATTACTTAATGATTTATCAAGCTATCCCAGATGATAATTATCCAAAACTCAAAATCTGTAAATTCGTTTAATGCTATATTTCATTAGATTTCTTCGAGTAATTTGTTTGATTGCTATTCAATTAATTTTCATTGATTTTTATAATAATCCTATTTAAAAATTTCACAACTATTATTTCAATTATCATGTTGTTGCAATGTATTCTAATAACATTGCCATGTCTGTATTATCAACACGAAAGACATTGAAAATGTCGAATTTACGTGTATATAAGGGTACGCGGTACCCGACAGCAATGCTGCCCCCTGACGTACCTCAAACTGGCTCAAACTTGCCTTCGGGCCGCTACCGCGCCCCTTGATTCTGCTGGCATACAAATTATTTCCAATCAAGCAATCCCATGTTTAAATTGAATCAATGAATAATAAACAATGAGATTACGAGAAAAGGGTAGAGAGTGTCGACAGAGCACAGCTTTATTTCCATTAAAAGTTAGTAGACAATGAGGGATGATTACCAATTAGAGAATTTGAATTTAAAAAGCAAAACTACATTTCTCATGCACCAACTTGATACATACAATTAATAAACTGCCCATCTCTGTTGTACATACACTTTATTGTAAATGTGATCACTTGGGATATCTAGCTGTTGCATGATACAATTTGTAGGGGCTCGACCGTACGGGACCGGGCACATGGGCGGTGCTCAATACACGACTGTCAGTGGCCAGGTGAACATTGCTCACGCTCCACCGATGGTAAGAATTTCCTATCGTAACCAAAACTTGCGAGAATGGAGCATCGCCTACAGTTGTACATATCTCGACAGTTTCGTTACAACGTATCAGGTCATTTCATAAATCTTTGCTTAGCTTCACCTAAAATTTTTTTTAGCAATTTTTCATTTTGTTGCCTTGAAACACTTTCGTTGGTCCCATTAGTAACTGACTCGTCCACATTTATTTCCTGTTACAAATATCTTTGCTTGTTCCTCGAAATAAAGTATAAATAATCATAGAAATTCTTCCTGAATGACGGTCTGTCAGGAAAATGGAATGAGTTCTTAGACAGTGGCTAGATCAACAAGTTTACCTAATTGCAAATGTCTCTGTAAAATGAAATAATGATTACTCAATGAAATTATGAACAAAAGTGAATAAAAAGAGAGGTACAATGTTAAACATTTAAGTTTTCTTATATTTATTTTGTTCTGTTGAAATCGGAGAATAGAACTACGCAAAATCTTATGAAATGACCTGATACACTCCTGAAACAAATTATAGCAGCATAATTGATTGATGCGAGTTTTAACAGTCGCTATAATAAATATTGACATAATAGTTGACGTTATTTACGATTAAATTTGTTTTCATGCTAGCCGCCTTCTATTGCGGACACAGAGTAGGTACAAGATGTAAACAATTCTTTGTCTGTTTTCTTTTTGTTAAATTGTAACGAGTTTCTATTATGTTCTTTAAGTTCCATAATAATCTTCTCTATACTAGAAGGAACACCTCTCTTTAAAATGCACTGGAATAAGATAAAAAAAAGTTATGAAATTCCTTTAC